GGCCGGGGCTCTTCTGCAACAGAGCGCGCCTGGCGGGGCGCAGAATGGGCTGCGGCGCCCGCTCCCGGGACCCCGGCGGCCCGCAATTCTGCAGCCTCCCGCCTCCCCGGCGCACCTTCCTCCCTAGAAACCAACCAGAGACTCCGTACCGCCGCCCTCCCTCTGCTGTCCCCACCCTTCGCCCGCCCCCAGAACCGGGGACCCAGGGACCGCTTCTCGCACCGGCACCCGGCCGCGCGCCGAGCCCCGGGCAGCCGAGGAGCCTGCTGGCGCCTCTGGAGCCTGGAGTTGCGCACTGGGAAGTGGATGCGCCCTAGGCTGCTAGCCGAGCCGTGTGATTCCGAGCGCGCGGGGCCTAGCGCTGCGCCCTCCCTGGCCGCGCCCCCCAGGCCCGCAGCGGCCCCTCAGCATCCCTGGAGTTGGGGTCAGGGGCCCTCCCCGCGCACTCACTCACTCGGCCGCCGCACTGCCGTTGCTCCCCGGGGCCCGCTAGCATTGCGCCCGGCCCAGCTGGCCACTCCAGCGCGAGACCGCACGGGCTTGATGAAAGAGCTGCACCCAGAGCCAAGAACCCGCGCTTCTCCTTCCAGGAAAGGCGGCCGCACCGCCTCCCCCCAACACACACCCCCTTCTTTCCCTCCCAACCTCCCTCCGCCTCTTCCTCCCCTCCCCATTCGTTCTCAGCCAAGCGCTTTGAGGGCGCGGCGGGGAACGGAGCCGGAGGACCCAGGGCTCACGCAGGCTTGAGCCACTGGCGCCAGGTGGTCACTGGTATCGGGTTTTAGGAGTCAGAATAAGGATCCCTGGCGCGACAGTTAAAGCGCTAGGCTGTTAGCTGGAAGGTCGATAGTCCGCAGGAAAAAGATGCTGTAGCCCGCGTTAGTACAAATTTACAGCCTTGGGACGTTGTTCTAGAGGGTCACTATGAATCTGGCTCCACAAAAGTGGGTTTGATTTGGGCAAAATCACATCTCACGTCTTTGGTAGGCTCTCATATCCGTATGCCTTTCCCTGACGCCCAGAATCTTCCCCTGTATCACTGGCTCAAGTAAGTGCCACCGGCCTGGGGGAATAGCGTTGATGAAGGCAAGAGCTGCCACAGGCGCTTCCTTATCTTCTGGGGCTCCAGGTCCAGAAAAGTGCACGAAGGGACACCCCCTCCCCCAGCACACCAACACCCCCGCGCGGCGTGGCGCGCACCATGCTGCCTGCGAGGGGCTGCTGACTCTCCAGCCCGCCAACCCCACGGTGAATCCCAAATTACTTTGTTAGGTAATTAGAAAGTGTTGATAATTATTTCTTTCATAATTTAGCGGTGTGACGGGAACAGGGAAATGATCTTGTGAAAGTTCACACGTGCAGATGTATTAGTTACTGATTCATTTGATTAAATGGTAGTCTCAAGTGCTCGGATCCGCAGCTGAAGGCTCCCCATTAGCATAACACTGATGTTTAATTTTCATACGCATAATTAGCCATATATTTAACACTAATAGCAACATGCAGCCTTTCAGCGTTAAACAGCCCAGGATTTGATCTGGCCTGAGCTGAACCTTCGTGGCTGCACCTTCTCCTGTCTGCAGAGCGCGATGCGCGCCGCACAAACCTCTGTAATCAAGCACATTTTGGCAAAGAGGGAACACCAATAAAAACGAACATTCAAAACAAATTACATCGGTGCTGTCGTTACAGATATTAGCGGCGGGGGCTTCTCCCTTTTTAAACTTGGGTGGCAACCGCTGCTGCCCACAGAATTCCTCTTTGGCGTGAGAGCGCGATGCTGGGGGAAGAAATATTCCAGGCAGCGTGGTTGGAGCGGAAAAGAAAAACAAAAGCAAAGCAACACAACTCAAAACAAACAAAAAAACCAAACCAGTAACGGGTTTGCCAATGTGTGAGATTCCCCCCCCCACCCCCACCCCCGTTATTCACCGAACCACACGGTGAGGCTTTGTACAACAGCCGGCTAATGACTTCGACACCAGACAAACCCCGGAGCTGGAGGTTCATCCTGACTCCCCGGTTGCACTTGGGGTTCTAATCGCTCCTTCCTCTTGCCTGTCGTGGGGCGTGCAGCGCCGTGCGGTGCGCCCGGGTCAGCTGTGCGGACACTTCGGGCCGCTCTCCTGCGCGCTCCTCGCGGGCCCTGCCCACGTAAGTGACCGCGGCGGCGGGCGGCGGGCTCGGGCTTTGGGGATGGGGCCGCGAGGACCTGGACTGGACGCCCCAGGCCGGCCGGGTTATTCCCCGTAATTTTACGGTGGGGAGCGGGAAGCATGGAAAGTGGGATTGTGGCCTGCCCTGTCTTGGGGTACTTCACATCTGGAGGGGGATCCAAGTCTTTGGGTCCAAGTGAGGGCTGGAGGTGCGGGGAGATCTAGCTCCAAGGAATAAAAACCCCGCATGCACCACCACCCCCAAAACCAGTTCAGTCTTGTTTCTTTTAGAAGTGAATTATGTGTGGATAAGGGAGTATCTACACTAGCGAATTCTTGCTAAGCCCCAAAGGAGCACGTCTGGGGCAGAGTGGAGGGGGCGGCCTGGGTCGCTGAGGTTCTGATTGTTCGCATGTTCCTCCACTAAAGAATCTTCTCTCTCTTCTGTGAGTGCAAAGTGAAATGGCACCTCCCCCCTTCAGGTGGGACTTACAGCTTTGCTTGTCCCAACAAAATGTTCCTTAATATCCTGCCCCTCCCCCAAGGAGACACTGGCCTCGACCGGGTGCCTGGTGGGGGGTCTGTGGCCACGTGTGGCTGGCAACCCAATAACCTCGGGTGAGGTTTGGGGCCAGTTAGCTGGCAGAGGGCTGGAAGGTGTACCAGGTTGTTTCCCAATTTCAGCCTCAAAGTAAGTTAAACATATTTCCTATTACTTCAAGTTTCTTACTGCTACATAGTGGCTAGTGCTGGTGGGGTGTGTGTCCCAAAGAAGCCACCCCCCTTGCCATGGTGAGAATTCCAACCCTACCGGACAGAGAGGAACCGCAGAAGTAGACAGTTTCATCTGTCTCTAGTGACACAGAGTTCCTGGTTCAAACCACTGACCTTTTTCTTAACAATCCAATCCTTTAACGACTTCACCACCAGGTCTCCTATCAACCTTTGACTAGTGTATATTGAAACCTCTGAGTCACTGTAAGAGGAAACTATTGTTGATGTCTTCGAGTCGAACACGACTCAAAAGCAACCCTATGAACAAAAGGCTGGAGGCCGCTCTATAACTATCGACATGTATCTAAGTTCATAGTTTCCAGGAGCATGTTGTTTAGGAAGTGGACTTCTAAATCCCTCCACCTAGGATTAATAGCTACGGGAGCATCTTTTTACTCTATCAGTTGGTTGAGAGCCTTCGGTCTTGATAAACTTAGTCTGGGAAACCTCGGAATAAACAGATGGACAGATAAAATACAGTTTTAGTCCTACTGCTTTATTTTTTTAAGTCCCTCACTGCAAATTTCTCCCAAGGCCAGCCAAGTCCTTGAGAATCCAGAATGCTCTGGGCAGTAGTCCTAGTCTAAGGATCTTGGCTAACTCTTGAGCACCCCAAAAGTTTCTTATATGGTCCTTGTAAGTCCCCAACCCTTTCCTCTTTTTCAGCTCTTGCACTCACTAGAATTGGGATAGCCTGTGCCCCAAATCTACATTTTTTGGATGGAGAGAAACAGAGTTGGAGAGTTTAGGGGACGCTCAAGGAAGTCCCAAGTTCAAAGGAAGGCGGGAACCGCTACTTCTGGGAGCGTGCTCATTGGCCTCAGTTCCCCACCTCTTTCTCCACCATCCGGTCACGAACCAGGAGTTTCTGGAGGTGGAGGGTAAGGGTGATGGTATCTGGGATCACGATGCCACCAGGTGTAGCTACAGGTGCCCATGCTCCCACCGCCAAGCTGCTTTCAGCAGAAGGAAACTTGACCCGCTTCAGTAGAAATAGAAGTTCATGTAACCACTAGCTGCACCGACACACTTGCTTTAAATCTAGAGGGATGCGGGTCAGAGGAGCACAGATTCAGAACCCGCAGAAGCCAGCCCTTCCCCAGTCCTAAGCGCAGGTCATGTGGAGGGGGGGGCGCAGAGGAAGGGACTGGCCACCGCACGAGAGCGTGCGCGCTCCGGTTCCTTGCTCCTGAAGCGGGTTGGAGTGACTCCTAAACCCGCCACTCCGCCTCTGCTAACCCAGCCCTTGCCCTGGGAAGGGTCCACGTCTCCACTCAATGGAATGCTTGGGGTGTCAAGAAAAGCAAGCCTTCGTGGCCGGGTCAAGAGGGCCTGGGGTGGGGATGCTTTTGGCGGTTAGGCGTCGTGGGCTGAGCCTGGGGCGCTGCTCATTTCCAGGCGGCTTAACTGTGGAGGGGAGAGGTGAGAGGTCTGAGATTTAACCTCTGGGGTGGCCCTTCGTGGCCGAATTTGTTGAGGAAAGAGGAGCCCCTCCCACCCCGCCCCACACTGCCTTTCCGAATTGTGAAGGTCCTGGACAAGGACGAAGCTCTGGATCCTTAATCAGAGGGAAATGCTTCTAACTCCGGCGGGAAACGAACACAGGGCCTGGTGTACAGGAGCTAACCTCGCCAACATGCCAGCTCCAAGGGAGTGAAAGGATTTTAAAAATATTCCCATCTAACCACGAGGAGGCTCGGGTTTCCCCTCCGTGCGCGCATACGTATGGGAAAAAGTTCAAGACTCAAAAAATGCACCACCCACCTTTTTCCCCAAATAACTGTCACAGACGAAAAAAGCGCAAACACTTAAACAGGTGAACGTGTTTAATCGGCAGAGTCAGGAGAGAGAGATGCCGGGAAACCCTCATCTGCTAAGGAGGGCGTCCCTGTCCCTGTGCCCCCGCGCGACCCAGGAGGGCCTCAGCGCTGCGCCCCCACTTGTACACAGTTCCCATCGCATTCTTCGTTCTTCGAAGAAGCTCTTCAGTGTAAGCCTCCCACCGAAATTTCTTCCGTTGAATTGCAACTATTTAGCGAAACCGGCTTCCGAGAGCCGTGCCTCTCGGCCTCAGGCCTCATGGGGCAGTTTGGTGAGGATCTGCGACCCCTCCGACGTGATGAGGACCGTATGCTCGAACTGCGCGGACCTGAAACACACACAGTGAGCTGAGCCTCCCCAGTCTCTCCTTCACACACAACTGAAAAACGAAAGAGCACAAAGCAAACACCTTTGATCGTCCAGGGAGACCGCAGTCCAGGCATCCTCCAGGACTTTAAATTCAGGGGATCCCTCTGTGATGATTGGCTCTGAAAGAGGGAAAATATTTACTGCGGTGACCTCATCAGATTCTTGTCAAACATTATTTCGGCTGATTATAAGAAAAAAGAAAGAAAAAGGAAAAAAAGAGAGTAAGAAGGTCCCCTCCTGCCCCCCCTTCCACATTTCCCCCAAGGGTTCGTGTTGTCATCCTGTAAGGGCTGATAATTGATGTTGCTTACACAGTATACTACAAACTAAACAGTAGGAAGAGGAAACGCTCAGGCATTCAAAAATGTATGAAGTTGCCTGGTTCATAATTTTTTTTAGAGAAAGAAGGGCATTTTAATCAAGCCTTAATTAGGACCCCGTGGATTACAACCACCCAAACACCAGTCCCTCTTATAAATACCAGCCAGTTTTTAAAAATATTTGAATTTTTAAAACATGCTCAAAATGTTCATTAATCAGCAAATAACAATTTTCTTATTTCACTCTAATTGCTTCTCCATTAAGTCCCACAGTCAGAAATGCGATGCCTTCATGCCCCTGGGGGATTGAATCTGGAGGTGACACCAATTACAGGATCAGCCAGACCAGGCCATCAGGGAACAAAGCCACGTGCTGAAAGGGAGCAAGGGACATGATCGCCCCTCTTTACTGGGCGTTAAAGGGGGAAACCCACCCAAACCCCAAAACACCACATTAAGCTTGTAACAGAATTTGAGGTTGGCCAGTTGCCTTCTCCTAAATGTGTTGGTAAGTATCTGATTTAGAAAGATGGGTTCTAGGATATTATATAATCAGATTTATTTTGCATCTAAATTATTTAATTATGCTGATTGGTTTTATTAGTCCTTCAAGGGACTGTATGGCCTAGACCAGCATCCTCTGGAAGCCACAGAGGAAGAGGCAAGGGGCACCTGGAACACTGACCTATGGTGAACGCCATCCCCTCCTCCATGAGCAGTTTGCTGTCATTTGCTGCAAAACAAAAAAGTGTGGGGTAGGGGAAATCAAGAAGCAAAGAGAAACAGAGCTGGGGGTGGGGTGGGGTGGGGACTATTCAAATAAGTCTTGTCATTTTCCTTTTCTTTTTTGAGGACACCAGTAGACTAGAGCTTTGAGTGGTGGCCATCATTGGAGTTTGAGGCTCAGAGCTCCTGTCAGTTGTTCTACACAGTCTGCCTTGGAGTGGGAGACATACCCTGGGGTGGGGGGAGAGTGTGTGGCATTCCAGGCAGGCAGGGGCTATCTAAGTGGTTTAGACCCCTCCCAGCCCCCACTCATGGCTGAACTCCCAACCCCAGGCCTCACCACTCCCATCTAAAAGACAAAGACTGCAGGCTTCCCCAAAGAAAGTGAATGTAAGTAAATGAAGGCAGCTTCCCAGGTTCCAGTCAGGGGCTGGAGCGCTGCTTTAGAAGGAATTCCAGGCTCTGAGACTGGATGGAAAGCAGGTTTGGGAAGCTCTTTGTGAACCACCTCAAGTGGGACTCCAGAACCTAAGGAAGCTGTGACCTTCTGGGTCTCCAGGATTCTCTAAGGTAGATTCTAAGTAGTAATTCCTTCAATGACCACCTCCTCCGCCAACAAGGAATGAATCTATTTAGGTAAATGGCTGATCAAGCCCACAGATCAAGGCCTTCGAATCAACCCTCCTTTGGTTCCTGTCCAGAACTGTACCCAAGTAGGGGGAGCTCCACAGTGCTGCTTCCTACCTAACTCAGTCCTCCCACCATTCTGGCTCACCCCTGCCTTCTCACTGAAGGGGTACACAGCCAGGCAATGAAAACCAGCAGATTCTGGGGAAGGAACACAAGAGTGTGTATAATCTAGAAATCACTAAAGAGTACATGCTGCTAAATACATCAGCTGTCAACACTGTGTAGGATGTAATGAAGTTTAACCACAACAGTCAGCGGTTAGAAAAGGGGACAGAAAAAGAAAAACATAAAACAGTCATATGTGCATGCTGCTGGGACATTGATGCAGTGGTGTTTTGTTGTCAGTAACTTTTTTGAGACAAACAGCCCTTGTGCTTTCCAGCCACGCAGCCTTCAGGAAAAGACAAAAGCACAAAAATCTTATTTGGGGATTGAAACTGCTGGGCTCTCATCCAGTAACATAGTAATGTGCTGGTTAAGATTCAGTAGGTCTGGTGGACTCTGGAGGGAGTCGCACTGCTAATCCAAGCACTGGGCTGCTCTGGAGGTCCGAATCCATCACTGGCTCTGAGTGAATGCCCTCCCCCAATGTGATTCATGGCCTTGGAAATCTACAGAGGGTCAGCTGTGAGTTGGTTCTGGCTCGATGGCAATGAGGATGAATTTCTGTGCACCCCCAACCCCCAGTTAATAATGTAAATGTAAAGTTACAGAAGAATGCAAGATGTTTTATCCTGAGTCCACTCAACAAATAAGTTCCTCAAATTAACTTTCTTACCATGATGCCAAATTTCTGGATGTCCATGAAAGTAAGATCCTATTCCATGTCCAACGAAATGTGGACAGACTTGCAAACCATTCTGATGAGCAATATGGCTTTAAACAAGACCAAACAAAAAGATTTAATTAATTTAGGTAAGTTTTTGATGGCTGCTTACATAAAATAAGTCCCTTTAAAATATTTTCTAAGATACTACAATTTCCCTATACACCTATATAACAAAAGAGAATGATGGTTTCAGCAAAGGTTCAAAGAAGAAACCAATCAATGGGATTAACAGCTCAGCCCAACAACTACTTCAAATCGGAACCAAAAGAATTAGATGGTGCCTGGCTGCTAATACCAACCATTTTGACCAGCGTGGAGGTATGGGTGGTGTGGGGAATAGAATGGAAGAAAAACATGGAACAAAACTTAAATTCCGTAAAAAATGTGAGCCCTTTAGGACCAAAAGAGACTAGAGAAACCTTCTTAAGAAAACTTTTGAATATGGAAGTGAAGCTATCTCTTCAATCATCTTTTAGTCAGATAACAGACGGACTTACAGAATAAACAGAATCACCCATGAGTGATGAGCTTCCTCAAATAATAAACTATATTGAAAAAGAAAAGCTGGTCAACACTTATCCAGAAGCAAAGAGAAAGCAAGGAGGGACAGGGAAGCCAGACCAATAGAAACAGATTTTACAGAAGAGATATAATGAGTGTGCTGGCACGTTGTAGATGGCTCTAAACAGTCTGCATAAAAAATTGTTAAAAGAGACAGTAATTTGCCTTGCAAACATTCACCTAAGTAACGAGAAAATATTACCAAATTTAAAAAATGTACAAAGGTTAATTTTTATTGCTGCTGTTTAAATGCACAGTGGAAAAGAATTACTCAGAAAAGTCACCCAGTGCGGGGGGGGGGGGGGGG